TCCAACTGAAATATGGAAAAATGCAGTAGAATACCCACCCCTTCAGCAACATGCCCTAAAAATGTTTTCTTGCTTTTCAGCCACTTATTGCTGTGAATCTACATTCTCCTACCTAACCCGAATCAAGACAGCCTTAAAGTCACAAATGACTGATACTCATCCAGAGGATTACCTGAAACTTCGGACCTCCAAGCTGCAATCAAATATTAAAATGCTTCTGAACAAAAAGCAGACACAACAAAGTCATTAAAAGGTTAGTTAACTTTAAAATTAACAAATAGTTTTCATTTTTTGAAATTATTAAGTACATAGTAGTTAGATTTTTATAAAATAATGTACATTTTTATGTATATCTAATTGAAGTTTCTTGAATGTAGTCTTATTTGATTATAGCTAAATTAATGCAGCCTTCCAACATGAAAAGGTTCCCCACCCCTGGGTTAGACAACATTTCCAAGGTGAAATTATCTGGCCTCAGTGACTGTTCCACTATTAAGATGAAGGACATGATCAGAGGTTTCTTGCCTACACAACTGGAAAATGATGCCATTAATGAAGATAAGGAATACAGAGTGAGGAGCAAGGCTAGGAGTCCAGGAGAAGGTGTAGTTACTCCACCTACAGTCATTTTTAGAAACAAACATATTATTTAGAATTGAAATCAAATGCTAAGAGAAAATTATGCCATCACTCTGGCACGTACTGGTCTTACTGAACAAGCACATCAAAGCAAAATATGTCCAGTTCAAAGGGCTCATTTTGTTTAGTAAATAATATGTTACTATCCTTCCTTCATTTGGGGGAAAAACCCTATTATGTAGAGATGGGGCAGAAGAGATCAAAACACGGCCAATAATTTTCAATATTGTGTATTCTTAAAACCTGTTTCTCACAAAACAGTATTTTTCTTAAGGCTCTAAGCTTCTATTCTGATCCAAATATCATGACAGAAATGTTTAAGGATTTACGTAAAAACATTAATTTTGCTTATTTGCAGCTTTGTATGAAATGCTTACAGTATTTTTGAATCTGTGATGTCCCCTTTGCAACTCATATCAAATAAGTACTTCATGCTTTCTCTCTATTAAGACTTCCTGGCCGGGAGCGGTGGCTCCCGCCTGTAATCCTAGCACTCTGGGAGGCCGAGGCAGGTGGAT